GTTGAAATTTAAATGTAACATTTTACATTGAATGTTATATCTTACTAACCTTTAGTAATGTATCTTCATCTATTTGGGATGATTTTTAATATTTTTACAATAATTTATTATTGACTATAAAACCCTTTTCAACATATCATCATAAATTGTAAACACATGTAAATACTTGTAATAATTATTATGTTCACTTATTTATATTAATTTAATGCAGGCTTAAGACCTTTGATGTCGAAGCATTAATAAATTTATAAAAAAAAAAAAACCTTTTAATATGCAATAATGAATTTAAATTACTTTATAAGTATGTTAAGAATATATTGATACAAATTAAAAGGAATTATTTAAATATAGTATGGGCCAAACGATCTTAAATTAAAATTTTCAGACAGGCYTCAGAACTCATTATTCAAGCACTGCATGATAGTAAAAGATATTAAACTAACTTAAAAATAATACTTACCCCAGTTTTTAGATTRACTAATGAATATGGGATACCAGTTGGAGTTTGAAATGCAGGTAATAATTTTTTTGCAACATAATCAGCTTTATCACGGAAAATAGTATCACCAGTCATAGCATAACAAGTAAGAAAACCACCAATAAATCGAATATTTGTTTCAAAAACTGATATATCTATTTTCTGTAAGAAAAAAATAATAGCATATCAATTAATACTAATTTGTAAATACCTACACAAATATGAGTGGGAGAGGAAAATAATATTTTTATGAGCATACTAGGCAACTAAATGCATATAAAATAGTTCTATTTTATGCTATAATAGTACCTAAGTGTTATGTACCAAAAGCCAAAAGAAAAAAATATGCWCTAATTTCTAACACAWCATAGGTAGGTAGATAGTTGTTATATTAAGACTTTTGTACATATCTTAACAATGTTTTTATATAAATATAATTCGCAAGTTTTTTTAATGTAATGTTATTAATTATTGTCAATTTATTAGGATATTTTTAATTTGTAGGGAACCATAAAGCCAAGGAAAAATATGATCATTAACTTTTGATAAACTTGACTTTAAACATTTATTAATAATATTATACTGCTGTACCTACCTATTGCACTGTAAACGTATTATTATAGAAATAGAATATTATATTATTTATATTATTATAAAACAAGAGGGTAAAAATAATAAATATTAGAAAACTGACTGAATAAAAGAAATAGTCTGACCAAAAACATTTACTTACCACATTTTCTAAAGTAAAATTAT